CCAGTGTTCCGGGAACGGAACCACTTGGCCATTGGTGGGCCGTTATTCTTTTAGTAATTCCACTAATTGTTTAATTATTTATTATCTTTCTTATAAAAAACTTTATCAGGACAGTTTATGTTTATCTAAATATATAAAATTACTTGTCCTGACTGACTGACTGATTCATCATCGCCCAGAGCAAACCGCTGAACCTAAAGAGGTGAAATTTAGTACACAGTTAGGGTACGTCATGAAAACGCGCACAAAGAAGGGATTTTTCGAAATCTCCCGGCGGGGGGAGAGGGAGAGGATTAAGGCTTAACCTGAAGAACGGCTTCTACTGTACTATTTTAGATGCGATTTTTTTGTTTTCAACTACGTTTAGTCTTCATTGAGTACTTAGGTGTATTAAATTGATAACATTTCAGACATTATTATAAATATTTTTATCTATTTAGATTTTAAAAATGTTCGAACCGTTTTAAATTCGAATTTGTTATTGCGTATTGGTTCGATCATAGAACGAATGTAAACGTTCCAGAAAATTGATCAAATTGAAAACAGTTCGTTTGATTCTCGGCAATTCTTGTCATTCTCAGCGATAGGTGTTATATAACAATTACTATGGTTGTTGAAATACTAAATATAAATAGGGTTTGCTTGCAAAATCCTCGGATAACAGATAGTATTAATATAAACAGAAGAACGTATGTTTACATTTTGAATGAAATTCTACGAACTGGATCTAGCTACTTCACCTTTATGGCTTTTATATAACAGAAGTAAATTATGGCAATAGTTCAAAAAATGATTTTTTCTCAAGATTTCGACATTTTTGAACTTGCGAAACTGTCGAGAAAAATGTAAAAAATAGATTTTCTTTCCTCCTATGTATATACGGGTTTGTATAGGGGTGCGATTTTGTTCACCCACTTTTAAGCGTAATAAACATTGGCGTGCTTTTTTTCAAAAATTTCGGTTTTGTTGGTAAAGGTTTAGTGGGAAGGTCACGTGTGGTATCTGAAATGGGGTTAGATTTAATGGAATTAATAATATGAAGAGTTTTTAACATAAAATCTCGTAACAAATGGTGCCACACGCAATTTTAAGGTTTGGGCAGGAAAGTTACGTAACTCTTTTCTGGATTTTTTAAGTAAAGGTATATCAATTATTATTATATGAATATAATTATAATAGAAATGCATCTGTGCATCGAATTTAAAAGGAACCATAGCCATTTTTCGACACCCTTATCGTGTGAACTCTTCGGATTGCAAACGTTTAAGGTGCCAGGTCTCGAGTTACTTGAACTTTAAGGTGTCGTGTGTTACTAAATTCATCCGTAAATCCAAGTGACGTTGCGATGAGCATCCATGAAAGGGAGAATAGGAACAGGAGCGTGTTAAACATGGCTGACTCTTAGAATACAAACAATCGTATTTTGTAGCGCATAAATTGCAGATTATATAAGAAACACAGAAAGTTTTGAAAGTGAGGAGGAGTTACTTATTTGGAAGTTTTATCCAAATTTCTACAGAAAATTCTTCACGTGTCAAAAGCACGCTTTTCTTGGTATATGCCATCTGGGCACCAGCTTTACAGATTGGCGAGTTCGATGCCACACCGGTGCAAATTAGAAACGCTTCCAGTAAAATACATCGGCGAATTTATGAACACAGGGAGTATCACGTGATACCAAATCGATCGGTTAGACGATTTACCGAATGAGTTCGTAACACGCGACCTTCCCAACACATTCGTGTTGTTACTGGAGACTAGGCGCCGCCGATTGATAATCTCTTTTTTAAAACGCCGACACTCTAGGAAGAATAGAAAATTGAATATAANGTGTGACAGTTTGTAAGTAGTGCACCAACAATATACAGTTTATCAACAGGCTGAAGATACAATTTCAATTTTTTTTTTAATCTAGAAATGCAAATATTTGAATTATTTTTCCAAATACCCATTCCACACACTCTCTTACTGAACTCATTCTGGAATTAAATACTTGTTGCTCGGGTGTTAAGCTAGCACCTCGGAATGGTGTAATGAGGTGTTGACGCAAAGGATAACCAGAATCTCCATATAAAACAAATTTGGTTCCGTTCTCAGAACAAGGAATTGCAGCCAAATACTCTAACACAGTGTTTTTTAGCCTTCTTGAATACGCGACCGCTTTGCGAGTTAAAAACTTCCGGCGATTCCCCAGGGCCATATTAAAATTATATCAGTGATTTTAAAAACTACGTATTTAATTTTCTTTCTGTTGAGACCTAAATATCGATCGAAAAACCAATTATACTGTAAAATAAACAGGTATAGCCTTCTCACTAAAATTCTAGTTTTTTTCTTTTCATTGTAGTGTAGGACCTACAAACACTTGTCTTTTTCTTTTTCCCGCGACCCCACGTGTATAGAATTGAGACCCCGCTGGGGGTCGCGACCCACAGGTTGAAAATGTATATTGACTAAATTACGGAACACGTAAACCGTCGTTCCGTAATTTAGTCAATATACATTTTTACTCTTTTAGCCTATCTCATACATTTAATTATGGTATAATATGTCTTTTACAGAATGTTAGCAAGAAAAAAAATGACACATAAAGAACGCCTAGAAAAAAAACGTGTAGCAGAAAGATTAAGGTACCAATGCATAAAAAATGACCCTGACAAATACGCACTACAAAAACATAAAGAACGTGAAAAGTATCAAAAGAAGAAAGAAAAAGGAATTGTTAAGACTATAAACCAAATGACCCCCCAAGAACAGCGAAAAGCTAGAAAATTGTGGAGAGAAAAAGCAAAGAATCGTAGATGTCTTTTAGCACTTCAAGTCATAAGTAATGAATCCTCAACCCTTCCTAGTTCGGATAATGAAGACCCACTGCTACTACCACCTCCTCAGAATGAAGATATTAACAGGCTGCTTGAAAATAAACAGTCTGATAATTTAATAATTATAAAATGAATAAATAAAGTTGATTCTTAAAACAAAGTCTATTTTCTTTCATAAAGCAATGTTGCAATTTCTCCCCTGTTCATAAAGTATCCTACCCTGTACACCTTGTCTCTCCCCTGTATTAAGTATTTCCCCTGGTCATTCATATTATTTTCCACATAAAAATACTCTGATCTGACGTTTTTATATTTCCCCTGGACAAAAAGTCTTTCCCCTGGAATCTTAAAAGGCAGGGGAGATATGACAGGGGAGATAATTTTTCGTTAGAAAACTGAAATGATCGTAACAGTGTTTATCGTACATAATTAACAAATAAATATGAGAATCTATGCACAAATAACAGTAAATATACAAATTAAATGAAGTTCTTAGATAAATAATCACAAAATAAAACTTACCAGGGGAGAGATCACTTCACTCGTTCACAACTGTACCCACAGAGTAACGTTACCGAAATCACTGACAAAATGGCTGCGTGATTAACTCGCTTGATGCTTGCTGCTAACTTCACGTCCAATGAAATGTGTTCAAGATCACAATTTCCCGCGACAAAGTAAACAAACATCGTTTTTTGACAAATACAAAATGCCAGGGGACGAGACGCGAAAAACGCGGGACAAATTAGATGTAAATATTTTTTTATGAAAAAGAAATATTACGTAATTTCACATGTTAGATTACAATAATTTACTTATCCTATTTCATTATTAAAATGAATGATTTTGATATTTTATTAGATTTCTATGTATTTAAAATTACTGATACACGAACAGAATCGGTTAGGGGAAGGCCAGGGGCGATATGTTTTTCATGTTTGAAGTACTATTGTGACTAAATTAAGTATATTTAAGTAATGAATTTAAGTGACCATAAAGAAAATGGTGAGTTTTGAGAGATAACAACATTATTTCAAACAAATTTTTGAAAAAAATGTGATTTTTTCTCATGGACATTGAAAGTACCTCTTAACTTAGAATGACCCATATATATATTTTTTCTATGTTACATTAATTTAAGAAGAAATAATACATAAATTTATTTAGTTCTAAGCTGATTTTTATATACAGTAGAGCGTCGTTTATCCGAAAGCTGGTTATCCGAAAGCATTCCAATCGGCAAATTTCAATTTTTGCTAGTGCTGTGGCGCTGCAATCTTCGGCTATTTCTTGGATTACTCAAATGTTTTACGTTTTTGATATTAAATTAACATCTGAAGTATAATTTTTTATTGNATTATTATTAAATGAATATAATTATAATAGAAATGCATTTGTGCATCGAATTTAAAAGGAACCACAGCCATTTTTCGACACCCTTATCGTGTGAACTCTTCGGATTGCAAACGTTTAAGGTGCCAAGTCTCGAGTTACTTGAACAGCAACACGAATGTGGTGAGAATCCGTGGTGTTACTAAATTCATCCGTGAATCCAAGTGACGTTGCGATGAGCATCCATGAAAGGGAGAATAGGAACAGGAGCGTGATAAACATGGCTGACTCTTAGAATACAAACAGTCGTATTTTGTAGCGCATAAATTGCAGATTATATAAGAAACACAGAAAGTTTTGAAAGTGAGGAGGAGTTACTTATTTGGAAGTTTTATCCAAATTTCTACAGAAAATTCTTCACGTGTCAAAAGCACGCTTTTCTTGGTATATGCCATCTGGGCATCAGCTTTACAGATTGGCGAGTTCGATGCCACACCGGTGCAAATTAGAAACGCTTCCAGTAAAATACATCGGCGAATTTATGAACACAGGGAGTATCACGTGATACCAAATCGATCGGTGAGACGATTTACCGAATGAGTTCGTAACACGCGACCTTCCCAACACATTCGTGTTGTTACCGGAGACTAGGCACCCCCGATTGATAATCTCTTTTTTAAAACGCCGACACTCTAGGAAGAATAGAAAATTGAATATAACAAATTATTAATGTTAAAATGTAAGGAGTGTGATGTTAAAACAAGGAAATAAATTAATTAGTTTCGCTTTGAAATTCTCAGAAACACTTAAAGTTGTAAAAAAAACACCAGACAGATACCCATCAACCGACGACAGATGTATTTATATTTATTAAGAGATAAGTACTTAACAAGAAACGAAAGTTCAATCTTCCTGCTTGTTATATAAGAACTCTCGATCAGCTACACCTCGAAAACCAATAAGCAAACTCCAATTTTTCTCGTCGTTTCACGGACAAAATGGACGATTCTTCTGTAATAACTTCTCGACTTCACGTTAGAATTATTTACTGTTTAATAGTTTTATTAATAGGGATATCGGTATTTAATTCGTACTTATATCTTAATTATTCATCTAATTCTATTTGTTCCGGCTCGGTTAACTTGCAACTAAGAGCTTACGAAAATGGCGTTAGAAAATTAGAAGATCGTTTTAATACTTTTCACGAGATGTGGCGAGATAGACTGAACAAAAGATCGTCAAATCAGCAGAGCCGATGCCAAATCAAGATTTATATAGAAACCGAAAAGGATCAGTTTTCTGATAGTGTATTGTTAACTGACAGGTATTGCATAAAGGTAATTACGCTTAATATTAACTTAATTAATTATATTATAAGCGCCCATTAGTGGCCGAGTGGTTAAAACTACCGAACACTGGTAGTCAGTTGCGAATTCGAGCCTGGCCAATGCGCTGATCACGTGGAGTTTTCTGGGTTTTCTTTACGTTAGTAACACCTCAACAGGAACCAGTTTCCCATAGAAAATCTTCCGGGAAGACTTTTTATGGAAAACTCCAGAAGAAATCCCAGAAAACTTCACGCATTGGCCAAGTGCGAACCCGCAACCGAATACCAGTGTTCGAGTGCTCGATGGTTTTATCCACTCTCTGCCATTGATGAGCCTGGTTGGGCTCGGTTAGTATAAAATTCTACGTCGACCTGACGTCATCTCTAAAGGTTTACAGTGATCAAGGACTTCAAACTCTTTCCATCCAGTGACGCCAAGAAGGCCATTTTTAGTAAACCCACAATAGGCCAGCCGGCTGAGAAGGAACGGGGCCCGATGTATCCGTCCGGATCCGATTCTGGGTCCTCCAGAGCAGTAGGCTGCTACCTTAACCGCTCGGCCAATATCGAGGATTCAATTAAAAAACTGACACCAAATTGACGTAGAAATTTGTACTGCCTGACTTAACGGACAAGCCTTGTATATTAATTATTAATAGTAACTGTATAACAATTCTAGGAATCTACACTCGAAAACTATTTTCGGCGGGTGGCTAATTACAGTGTAAACGAAACTCTACGACTACGAGGTATTCTATAATTACGAAATTAATATGCATGATTTTCGTAAGATGTAGATGTAGTTTAAAAAAGTTGAATGACTAAGTCCAGGAAATCAAAATAATTCTTTATTCGGCATTAACGTTTATCGCCATTCTTAATTGCAATTAACTTAAACTAATGATGAACTAGAAGGTCAAGTTGTACTCGTGTAACGTTGATTTCTATTCGCTATAATCTCAGAACGATTTTAAAATGACCAACAACGTTATTGAATGAAAGCTATTTTGCATTTCCTGTACTCAGACGTTTGGGTTTTTTAAATGTAGGGCCTATACATTTATTTGGCATTTTTCAGCTGTCAAGAAAGATGTAAAACGTGAAATAAGACGTCAAGATGGCGAAAAAGACTATCAGCACAGTGAAACAGAATATGGTAGATAAGTGAATTCGGTTTTCAATATTTCGGTTTTCGATAAACGATTCAATGTTTGCTTTCAGAGAAACTGGTGAATTCAATAATTTCTGACAGAGGTTGGATATCAAAAAACAAAGACAAAATAGGAACCTGGAGTAAATCAGGTAAATAGGGTCTTTCTTAAATTCTTTCCGTCCTGTGGGCACTAAAATGGCATTTCAAGTAAGTCACTGGCGTAGCGTGGATGTCAGTGGATCCGGGGCGAAGGAAAATTTCGCCGCCCTTTAGTGGTGCCAACCTTTAAAAAACCCCGAACCCGAAAACAAAGGAAGGTTGGTCCAAAAAAAAGTCCCGAACCAAGCCCAAAGACAATTTGCAAAGCCAAAAAAAAACGGCAAAAGAATAACAATTCTAAATCAGTTATAGATACTAGGGGTTAGGGAGACTTGAGTAGGAGTAACGTAAGTAACCTAAATTAAGAAAATCAACTACAGATGATTTAGGTCTATTGGATATTGGAGACGTGTACGAATACGAATCGTACAAGAAAAAAAAAAAAGGTTAACAGGTTTTTTTTAACGCTTTACGCCCTGTGGGCACTAAGAGGGCCTCTTTTTGCAAGCCCATTATGAGTTCGGCCAGGCCCACAATGGGGCTGCCGGGAGGTGAGGGGAGGGGCCCGACATATCCGAACGGACCACCCCCGAAAAATTCCTGGGGATTTTTAGACCCGTTCAGATTCGAGTCCTGGTCCCCAGGGTGGTAGGCTGCCACCTTGACCGCTCGGCCTCAGGCCGCTAAGGTCAACAGATTGGACACGATATACCCGGACAAAATTAATAGTTCACCCAAGACAGTGAGTCGATTCCCGGACTGTCCGGGTGGTAACACTACCGCCCTCTTATTTAGGTATCTCAATTTAAAAGACTAAAATTCAATTTCGTCATAAATAATGAAAAATTCCGTACTCACTTCAATCGGTCCGAATCGTAGGTGCGACAAAAATATGAATTGAAATGGTTCAAATTTTTACAAGATATTATTATTTATTGCGAAATTTTGCCGCCCCTAAAAGTGCCGCCCCTGCCGCCCCTACTACGCTACGCCACTGAAGTAAATGCATTACGAGTTTGGTAGGCTCACAGTAGGGTGATGAGGGAAGAGAGTAGACGTATTCGGATGGATCACCCCGAAGAGAAATTTCTAGGGGTTTTGACCCATCCAAACTCGATCCTGGATCCTTCAGAGCAGTGTTCTTCAACTTTTTTTACATCAGAAGATCGGCAAAAGTAGGAATAGTATTTCGTGCTAGTGTACGAAATTTTTGGTTAAAGAACACTTTGTTCTAGAGCAGTAAGCTTCCACCCTAATGAATCGAATTACTAATAAGAATCAGGAGGAGGAGGAGGAGGTTCAGTCCAGTCTCTTCCTCTATGAGGAATCTCGACTGAGCCTCCTCCGATCGAGGAGGAGCTTCAGTCGAGCTTCCTCATAAGAGAACTCACACACAATATAATGTCTGTGGTTGCTCTTCTGTGAGTAGTTAAATTAAAAATCATAAATGAAAGCTTTCATAGCAAATGCCAATCACAATTTCGAACTTTTATTACCTTTACTAATCATTTTAATCTCGAATTAATAAGTGTTTTTGAGAATTCCTCTCTTCTTACAGATTGCGCGGAATTGATTAAAGAACTGTCACGTCTTTACCGTGATGAAATCGAGAGATTAGAGAATCTGTTTAACTCCTTCAAAGAGATTGTGCAAAACAAGTCGAATAAAACAAGTGAAATTGCAAATGATTGCGAAATCACAGCTTTTCCACAAGCGATAAAGGTGCACGGGACTTATTCGCTCACTGGTAATTTCTGTGTCGAGGTAATTGTATTAAAAATATTTTATTAACCAATTAACATTAGTTTTACTCAAGTATACAAAGGCTTATTACTTATGACTCAAACTGGAGTTTTGGTTTCGAATGCGGACATTCGAATTACAATTCTTAATGTAGACTTTTATATTTATGATTTACATGTATAAGATGCATTCGCATTTTATTTAAAAACAATTTTTCATTGTAATTTTAGAAATCTTTCCTTAAGAAATACGTTCTACAAACAGTCGACTTGTGTAAGGGATTCAATCAAAGACAAGAAGGTATTCTTACTTATTGTAATATGTAAATTACGATCGAGTTAATGAATTAAATCGATTTATAGTAGAGTCTCTGTTGTCTTTCGCTCTCCAGTCCGACATGTCCAGTAATCCGACTCCCGTCAGTCCGATACATGTTGTATTACAGAGACTCTACTGTACTTTTTATAGGGACCGTCCACTAATTACGTGTCGAGTTAAAAGGAGGGATGAAGATTGATAAAAGTATATCGTTTTAACGACGGGGAGGAGACTACGTAGACTTTTTAACTAGTATAAGGGAACGTATGAATTTATTTTGTAAGCCTACTTACTCGTTGCGTGAATGAACTATCAATTATGAAATATTTGCAGTACTTTTTAGTTGTTTCTTTATTTTCAGGGATTAACAAATTATCGTACACGTAATTAAAGGGGAGAGATTTTTAACTCTTCGTCTAAAAGGGCACTATTGTATGCTTGGTTTGTTTGTTTGTTAAGTTATGGCAATACAACACCTGGGCGATCTGCATAGGGGAGATGCCTTCCGGGGGGTCTTTTTAAGGAAAACTAGCCCTTATTTAGGCGTTGTTGACGTGGAGAAAACCCGGAAAGCTGCACGTGTTCAGCCCGTCCGAGCGAAGCACGAACCCCGTGTTCACGACCGAACTCCCAATGTTCAGAGTACGAAGACCGTTTGGCCACTGGTGGGTCCTTGTAGGCTTGGCCAAACCCATAATGGAAAAGACATTTTTGCATGCCCATTATAAGCTCATAATGAGGAGGCCAGATAGTGAATGAGATTCGACATATCCAAACGGATCTCCCTAGAAAAATTTAATGGGTTTTTCGAGCCGTGTGGATTCGATCCAGGGGAGGGGTTTTGCCAAAAGTACATCAGGTACTGTACAAAATAGAAAAGGACGGGATCAAAAATGGCTCAAAAATTGTACACGTAATTAATGGACGATGTTCTTCTGTTTTTCAGTAAGTTAATACCGAAATGCTTTAAGAAGCACGCAGTTACAATAAACGGCTCGAAACATCAATTTAAAAAAAAATATTTGTAATTTGTATCAATGCAATTATTTGTATTTTTCTTCTATTCTTTATTATTATTATTATTTTGGAAAATTCTGAATAAAAAAAAATAAATAAATTTGACTGCACAACATTTGAATACGAAAGATATTTTTGTTCTTAAACGTAAACGAGTTTGTGCTTCATATTTTCTCTTAAATAGAAACAATAATTATTTTTTCAGGTCAGAAAGAGGGATCGAGACAAGTTATTTCAAGATTCCCAGAAATAAACATTCCTTCTGATGACAGTAAACCGAAAGGTAAATAATTCATTGTCTAATGCTGCTTTTGATGTTTTAATAACAGTCTAATGCGTTTTCGTAATATCCTAATGGCCATTTTTAAAATAATCAAGTTATTTATAAAATTAATGGAACGTTGTCATAACGTGACTTCCCTCTATCTCCCACCCCCTCGACCTTTAACTACCAAAATTTAACATCATCGATTCCTCTATTACAGAAACCTCTCTACAAAATTTCAAAAAATTTTGATCAAAGGCACGGGAGTTATTAATTAAGCTTTAAATCGAATGAACAAAATTTTGCGCTCCCATACGCATCCATACATACAGAAAAAAAATCGAGGTTTATCTTTGCATTAATTGACGTTTCAATGTCCCCGAGTACAAAAATGTAAAATCTTTCGGGGTCATTTTTGGATCGATTTCCTTCTGTTACATGTAACATATAGAAAAGTAAACGCTACAACGCGCATCCCTTCGCGTTACGCCCCCAATAGCCGAGTGGATAAAAACCACCAAACACTAATAATTGATCGTGGCTCCATCAGTGGCCAAATGGTTCTGTTTCCTGGTAGTACGGTCGTGGATTCGTTCCTCGCCAGGACAGACTTCCCACATGGCGTTTTCCGGGTTTTCTCCACGTCTCTAACGCCTAAATAGAGGTCAGTTACCCTTAAAAGATTTTCCGAAAGGCATTTCCCACTGCTCCTCGCAGGTAATTTCGTATGGTCAAGCAAAAAGCTTCGGTCGGCTCTTCCGAGGACAAGCGACTACGCAATAACATTAACCCCGATACTAAAGACAAAGAGTTGGTCGCGGGTTCGAGCCTGGCCAGCCGACCGGCCAAGTGACGTTTTACGGAATTTTTTTCAAATTTGTAAAACCTAACTACGGCTTCCCGAAAGAAATTCCTCCCGGGAGGCATCTCCCACAATTCCATATACAAATTACCATATACAAATAACCAATTCCTCCGCCTAACTGATATATAACCGATTAACTTCTGGCTTATAACCGAGAGCAATATCATAATTTACGAATTAATTGCATTGTCTTTCTATTAACAGACTGTGTCCTGGAGAAAATCGAAGAAGAAGGATCTTTTTTCAAAATACCTGATGAGGTTCGGGGTAGATCTTTTCTTTTGACCACCGATCCGTTCGGAAACGATTCCGAAAACGAATTTAGCGTTTGGATAAAAGAATTTCTCACACCCAATATAACAGAATACAGATTCAAAACATCTGGCCAATACGAAATCGTCAGTCGTGGCACATTACCGGACGAATTTTATAAATACGGCTTCTTATACAACGGAAGTTTCTTCAGCGAATACAAGGAAGAAAAAAGAATCGCCAAATACAATTTGAAGACAAACGAAACGTCGAAGGTGAAAGAGCTGGACGACGGTTACTTTTTCAACGACAACCTGATCTTCTTTTACGCGGACGAATATGGAGTCTGGACTTGCTACTACACTCGAAATAGCGCATACGTAGTGTTGAGGATCGATCCGAAGAGTATGGCCATTTTGTCGAAGCAGATCGTTCCCGCCAATTGCTACTTATACAGGTTTTTCGTTGCATCTGGAAGAATTTACTGCGTCTCAGAGCAGGAAGACCAGATTACTTTGTTATCGGATTTCTTCTCCAGAGACAATCGAAACGTTTCTATAAATTTCCACCCCAATAAATTCGCTCGTTACCGTTATCTCTTCTCTTACAATTATAGAAGTCAATATCTTTATGTTTATGACGAAAACATATTCATGAGATACAAATTATATTTTAATTGTTCTAATTAATGTTAATCATTTCAATTGAAATTTCTGTTATTTTGATTAAATATTTACAAGTAATTTCCTTAATATCATTTGCATATTTTAAAATTTGTCACTAGAAAATGATTCTAATAAATTGTAATTAATATCAGACTTCAAATTCATTTTCTTTTGAAAATTCTTTTGGGCCGACTCCGACCTTACCTTTTGTTAGAATGTCACACTACGATTTCTTTTATAATAAAGATTCCACTGAATATCCGAATATTTTTACGTAAAATTTCTGTATAAAAAGTCATACTAAAATTGACGCTGATAATCAAAAAACAAATGGGAATAAAAAAAAACAAATTTGCCTTGGAAAAAGTTGCGATTACATAAAGAAACACACATCTTAATAGTCGAAAGAATTCCACTTTTATTAGTTAAATTATTCCCTTATACTTTAGTAGGAAATTACCTATTCTCTGTAATAAATAATTGGAAATGAATAGAAGGAAGATGAAAAAATTAATTAGTCAAAAAGACAATCGATATCCAAAGTAAAACATGTTAAACTAATGATGCACAAGGTCAAGTCGTTAGACTCGTATAACGTTGATTTCTATTCGCTATAATCTCAGAACGATTTTAAATTGACCAACAACGTTATTGAATGAAAGTTATTTTGCATTTCCTGTACTCAGTCGTTTGGGTTTTTTAAATACAGTAGAGCATCGATTATCCGACCCCCCGATTAACCGTCACCTCGGTTAACCGAGCGCATTCTAGTCAGCAAATTTAAATGTCCGCTAGTGATGTGGCGCTACAATATTTGGCTATGTCTTGGCTACTTTAATATTATTTTTACGTGTTTTAGCTGGTAACACTGGATCGACCATGAAAGGGAGCCAGTATTTAAACGAGGTTTAATTTTTTAATTTTTAACGATACAATAGCGACAATTATTATCTATATATATATATACAGTATATATAGAGGAGAAGGTGGTATTATGGAACACTGCGGGTATTATGGAACCACCCCATTTCGAACTGATAATAAAGGCGAACTGTAGCGGAATGTGGCTGAACTGAACTAGGCAGACATCCATAGCAAGGGGAAAACCCGTTTTACTTCAGTTAAACGGTTGTCCGTATTTAATCAGCAAATTTGTTTTTTTCAAAATTCGCAAGTTTTGAATGCTAAGTGAATTTAATTATTTTTAAAATATAAATCGTGTAGTTGTAGGTTCACTGGTGCATGTATTCCGTTCCAGAGACTTAGGGGTACATATTAATCTGTGTGATGTTCACGTTTTTTAAATTTTGGTCTTGACAGACATAAGTTAATTCGAGATGGCGATGCGTGAAATACGGACCCCATTGGTGCTTTTACAGTAATATGGAACTCAACTCCTCCGAACTTTCTATTTGCAAGCAGACATTCCTCCAGAGCAATTTGTGAAAAAGACACTAGGTAGAAAGCCAATTCTTCCTGAGAATATCGAAAAAGAGCTGCTGGAATATATATTGTTGATGGAGGTCATATTTTTCTATTATAAAAGCATTTTTGCGATAAAATACATTGGAGTAAATAATTTTGTAATTATTTAACATTTTTTGTACTTTCCTATTTGTTTTTGGCTACATTAAAGCATTTTTTGAAAATATACAGTAAGGTTCCATATTACCACCCGATTTTCTCTAAGCCTACTTTCTGACTTTTTGTACAAAAGCCTTCAAAAACCATACTTATAGTTACACTAGCGAAAAATCCAATTAGGAACATTTAGTTTAATAGTTACAAGTACTTTTTGCACAAAAAATGTGGGTGTAGTTATGATACCTTGTTTACAATTCACTAAAATGTAATTGGGGTTCCATAATACCACCTACTCCTCTATATATATAAATGGACGTGTGTGTCCCTCTATTTCACTTTTCAGCCAAAACTACACATCACACATGAATGGTGTTTGTATGTGGTAGTAGCCCCAAGTCCCCAAGTCTCCATTCGTACTATGGTGGTTGCGTCTCGATAGCTATAAGAGTGCGGGAGATATGGAGGCTTAAAGTGGTTGACTTCGAAGATTTTCTATTTAGATTTTAAAAATGTTCGAACCGTTTTAAATTCGAATTGGTTCGATTATAGAACGATTGTAAACGTTCCAAAAAATTGATCAAACTGAAAATAGTTCGTTTGACTGGACGTAAAAATTCTCTAATTAGTGTGGAAACGGGGGACCTAATTCTTGTATTCTGTGAAAACGGGTAAGATTGGCTATAATGTAATTATCTTAATTTTCAATATCGTTACTTTTTAAAAACCCAGCGAAGCGGGTTCTTGCAGCTAGTTTTTTAAAAAAATTTGATAGGCTTAACATGGAGGAAAATTCAACGCGAAGTAGGTTAATAGCGATATACTAATATACTAATTACATGGGATATAATAATATACTACACTAATAATAGATTTTTTCATACTTTTCGGTTATTCCACTTTTCAATTATCCGATCAACCCCAGTCCCCAATTGAGTCGGATAATCGAGGCTCTACTGTACATACATTCATTTGGCATTTTTCAGCTGTCAAGAAAGATGTAAAACGTGAAATAAGACGTCAAGATGGCGATAAAGACTATCAGCACAGTGGAACAGAACATGGTTGATAAGTGAATTCGGTTTTCAATATTTATCTAATGTAAGTTTAAAATTTGAACGTGTTATTCGAAAAGTTATTGATTCGAACGTCTTTGACCTGAGGATGGCCCATAGAATGGGTTGAAAACGTTTGTTCAGCAGAATAAATGGGCTGTCTCAGTATTAAGGTATGTTGACTTTATACTAAGTAATTAAAAACTATTTTTCTTACTTCACATTTTATCAATAGTAAACTTCGAAGTCGGAGTCGCCGAAGTCGAAAGAATTTTATGGACTCCGACTCCACTACATTGCTGAGAGCAGTGGTGATATTCGAAATATTTAACAAAGGGTTTTCTAACAGAAAATTTTTCCTTAATTTTTTTTTCGAGTTGACTGACTGCCTGTGAGCAGTCAACTTGAGAAGAACCCGGATATTACACGCGATGATAAAACTGACATAACTACGCGGTAAGTCACGAACACCGACAAACAAAATGGAAGTTTTGGTTAGAAATAAATACAATACNAAAACGTTTGTTCAGCAGAATAAATGGGCTGTCTCAGTATTAAGGTATGTTGACTTTATACTAAGTAATTAAAAACTATTTTTCTTACTTCACATTTTATCAATAGTAAACTTCGAAGTCGGAGTCGCCGAAGTCGAAAGAATTTTATGGACTCCGACTCTACGACATTGCTGAGAGCAGTAGTGATATTCGAAATATTTAACAAAGGGTTCTCTAACAGAAAATTTTTCCTTAACAATTTTTTTCTCGAGTTGACTGACTACCTGTGAGCAGTCAACTTGAGAAGAACCCGGATATTACACCCGATGATAAAACTGACATAACTACGCGGTAAGTGACGAACACAGACAAACAAAATGGAAGTTTTGGTAAGAAATAAATACAATACTTTTTCTTGCGATATATCTAATAATAGGCAGATGTCATCGTCTCTCGAAATACAATATCTTTTTTATTTTGCTGTCGATAGCCCGACACGTGTTCCGCAGCCATCTTATACTTTCTCGCGCGCGTGGGATTGTGGAATCTCTCTTATGACTGGTTCTAGTTTCAAGAACTCTCTTTAGTCGATCGCGATTGACCCTCGTTTCAGTCGAGATTGAAACGGTCGAGGGAGGTCGCACCAAGGCGAACGGGGTATAAGGCTGTAGTTTAGTAGTGTTACAGAGTATAATACGTATATTTTAATATATTTTTTAAAAGAAACAAAACCACTGAGAAATGTTTCGTGTGTTTAACAAGGTTCGGAAAACGTTGAAAATGTTAACAACGGTTCGGCCGAACATGTGCGAACCCGCTGAATATCACCACTGGCTGAGAGCACTAAAAGGGTCTTTTGTAGCAAGACCAGCATGGGTTCGTCCAGTCCCAGAATGGAACTGCCAAGTGAATGGATCCGAATATTCGAATGACGCAGACCGAAAGATTTCTAGGATTCTGTCAATCCGTCCGGATTCATTCCCCATAAAAGTAAGTTTCCGAATATTCGAACTCACCACCCCGAAGAATTCTTGGGATTTCTTCGACTTGTCTACATTCGATCTTGGGTCCCCAGAACGATAAGCTACCATTTTAACCGTTCCGACCGTCTGGCCGTCTCGTTTTACAGTATTTGAAGTCACACTACAGCGAAAAAGAAAGTGACGTAATCTGCGCGTGCTTGTTTAAAAAATCGCAATGACTTCGTGCCCGAATCGAGCTAAGTACCAGTCTAAAGTCTCTAAGCTCTAATCTCCTCTTTATCGAATACCGAGGCGGATAAAGTTTATTTTCGTGCTTTGTTTTATTATTTTAATCGGAGAATACTAATTTTCTCACAAAATTATATTAAATTGTATTTATAGTAAGATGACCAACTTTTTTTACAATGAAAAGGAGGACACTAATAAATTGAAAGAAAAAATATCGTAAATAAAAAACATTTTATTCATTGCAACAATAATACACTATAATAATCTCTACTGCATGCATAGGTGCCATGTCGTGTTTCGATAACAAAGCCATTTGCGCGCTCTCTCTCTCTCAAAGTCTCCCGTGCGAAGAGCATGCGTCTCATAATTGCATCTCGTCGCACTGTACAGAGCCTTGATGAATTATCATGTTAAATACAACACACGTCATATCACATCACACGCAACGGATCGGTTCGGCATTGATCGAATACGGAGATTTACAGATTACTCTTTAAATATCAAAAAGGAGGACACTTTTCGACGGAGGACAGAACTTAAAAAAGGAGGACCGTCCTCCCTAAAGGAAGACGATTGGTCACCTTGATTTACACAGGAGTTATTTGTTCGTGGCAGCCATTTTCAACTTCGTCTTCGATTTAATTTAGACCTGGGCTGTGGAGTCGGAGTCGGAGTCGACACATTTTTTCCCGACTCCGACTCCGACATTTTAAATTTACTTATAAATACAGTTAACAGCATTAAGTACTGTACACTGTGATATTTGCAAAATTTTCCATTAATATAAAATTACATTAAGATAACATAATTTCATCTACATATATAAAAATGAATGTACGTCTGTCCTTCATGCATTACTACATCATTTATCCGATTGCCATGAAACTTTGGGGAGTTGTTTAATACACTCCCGCGAAAGTTTCTGGCATAGTACATTTATCCTACGATAAATGGCGCGTGTGTATACGAGCATTTAATATATAAAGTTGACATGAAGAGCGCATGCGCATAAGTTTGCTTTATTCGAATTTTTTGTCTTAATGTTCGATTTTATGTTTGAATTTATATTTATGAATGATTCTGGAAAATCTAGCTTATTTTTCGAATTCAGTAAACCTGAAGAAGAACCCAGAAAGAGTTACAAAAACGTTTATTCATCATTTAGTGGTACTATGCACTGGTTAGTGGTTGCATTGAGTCTTAATTATCGTTATCCGTGTGGTAAGCAGATATCTAAAAATTTTCTAATTAGTCTCAGAAGAAGGGGGACAAGCAATGCCGGGCTCATCTGCTAGTTTTAAATACAAAATACATCAATTTATTAAATATGTAGTGTTCTTTGTAGTATTTGTGTTTAGTAGTAAATTTATTTTGACCCAATTGAATTTAAATATTTTGGATCATTCCTTTATTATCCCTGCTCTAAATAAGTATTCTATTTTTCTGAATGAGCCAGACTAATTGATCTGAGTTTATATTTTTCTTTTCTGACCAAGGGGCTGAAGTAGCTAGATCGCACACTTTTTAATTGAACTAACTATTCTGGAAGGGTAAACTTGAAGTGCAAATGATGCCGAATATATGTAGATGTAGAATTTTATCTCCCGCTTTCTCCTCTTATTAAATATTTGTTAAAAATTAATTTTTTATACAAATAAATATTAAAAATATTAACTACGAGGGCGGTTTTTTTCCCAAGCTCCGATGGCCCATAAAACAAAGACAAGTGTAAATAACAAAATGAAGTTAGGACCAAAAGTTAGGTATAAACATACATTGTTATTTTTCGGCATAATCACAGTGAAGATTGAGGCATTTGTCATATCTGTGGAAGAGCTTTTCCATTCCCTTGTCATAGAATGTTGCCGCCAGTGAATTGAGATGGCCTTAACAACGTTGTTTTGAAGATCGTAATTAATTCATTAGTCTCAAACTACTGCCCTGCTAGCCACGTTTTCAGTTCAGGAAAGAGGTGGAAATCTTCAACACCTTTAAACACTCAGCGTATAGCCCCGATTTAACGCCGAGCGACTTCCACCTCTTTCCTGAACAGGAAAAGTGGCTAGGAGGGCAGAGGTTCGAGACTAATGACGATCTTCAAAACAACGTTAGGGTCCTTTTCGAGTCATTGGCGGAAGCATTCTATGACAAGGGAATGGAAAAGCTCGTCCACAGATATAACAAATTCCTCAATCTGCACAGTGATTATGTCGAAAAGTAACCATGTCTGTACCTAACTTTTGGTAATAAATTCATTTTGTTATTTACGCTTGTTTTTTTATGGACCATCGGAGCATGATAAAAAGCCTACGTATAAATGTATTAGGGTAAATGCCTGGAACTCCTTTTAGAGTTCAGAGTAGGATACCCCTATGAGTTCCTCTGTCCCCCATAAAATGACTTGGTATTTAATTTTGCCGGAGTCGGAATCGGCCTATTATCCACTCGGCCACTGGTGGGCCAATTTCGTCTTCGGCACTTCATGAACGCGCGAAGTATTTTACATTAACAAAGATATATTTGCTAATTACCTAAATTTTTCTGTAAATATTATAATTTGTGTAATTTATTATGCAAAACTTGAGTTTTGAATAAACTCGTACCATAGAGGCGTAATTTTGCGATATAATTAACTTCGTGATATTTATTTAAATTATTATTACAACCCTTTATGTTTTTCTAATAATAATTTAAATACATATCAGTTTCAGTTATGACAACGCAACACTTGGGCGATCTGCCTAGGGGGATGCCTTCCGAGAGGCCTTGTTTAAGGGAAACTGGCCCCTATTTAGGCATTACAGACGTAGAGAAAACCCAGAAACTCCACATGGCTATAGCCCGTCCGAGCGAGCGCGTACCCACGACACAACTCCAGTGTTCAGGGACGAAGAGCGCTTGGCCACTGGTGGGCCTAAGTACATATTACAGTATTGCATCGTTTATTCTACTGCTTTGTATCTTGAGTCTGAAGAAATTTTCCTTTTTTCATTTGTACTGTACCTCCATAATATTATGTAGAACTCTTCATAACTCGAAATGGCCATTTTTTGTTATTTTCAACTTCGAGACATACTGATTTAGTTTTTCTTTATTGGCTCACGTCAAGATTCTATTCATATGACATTTATTAAATAATCATGTAAATTGTAGAAAACTAAATAAGAATTTGACCCGCGTATACCTTCAGACATTTATTTGATCTATCATTTTAAAGGGTTGCCTTTTTCTGATCTCAGATATTATAGAATGTCAGAAATACTGAAATGTATACAATATGTCGGACCCCGACCCTCCGTATCCGTCCGTCTCCATTTGTTTTTTAACATTCCGCCCTGTGTGCATTAAGAGGTCCTCTTTTAGCAAGCCGATTATGGGTTCGGCCATATTCGCAATGGAGGACAAAGCCGACATATCCGATAGGACCATCCCCGAAAAATTCCTTGGGATTTTTCTACCCGTCGGATTCGATCCCGGGTTTTCTAGAGCGGTAGACTTCCACCTTAACCGCTCGTTCATCCGGCCAACTAATGATATTTCTGTTAGTGCCGTTGGAAAGGAGTAAAATAAAACTAGTGAATTTAGATGAAATAAATATGCAGATAATTATTTTATTTGTTTATTATTATAAATTACAAATAATAAAATAACGAAATCTATTATCTTTTAATAGTTAATAATACCTATATTTTGAAATTTAGGGAAATTTATATTGAGTATCTGGCAACACTCCACATTACAGTTCCCGCCACGGCGGGTAAATT